GAAATAAAAAAAAAATTATTCAATTTATAAAATTTATTGTGCTGTAAAAATTAAATTATAGTATAATACTTACCAACTGGTTATTATAAAGAAATAAAAAATAGATTTATTTAATTATAATAAAAATTATTGTGTTGTAATAGTTAATTTATTGTATAATACTTACTCTCTGGTTATAAAGAAATAAAAAATAAATTTATTTAATTAGATGATGTTAATAAAATTCATTTTGTGTTGTAAAAGTTAATTTATAGTTTAATACTTACTTTCTGGTTATTATAAAGAAATAAAAAAATAAATTTATTTAATTAGATGATATTTTATTTTGTGTTGTAATATATAATACTTACCAACTGATCATTATAAAAAAAAATAAAATAAAAAATAAAATTATTTAATTAGATTTATATTTTAATAAAAATTATTACTATTAACTTACAACATAATGCTTACCACCTGGTTATTATAAAGAAATAAAAAAATAAAATTATTTAATTATAATAAAAATTATTGTTGAAAAAATTTATTGTATAATACTTACACCCTAGTTATATAAAGAAATAAAAAACAAGTTTATTTAATTAGGTGATGTTTTAATAAAATTTATTTTGTTGTAAAAGTTAATTTATAGAATAATGCTTACCATCTGGTCATTATAAAATAAAAAATAAATTTATTTAATTAGATGATGTTTTAATAAAGTTTATTTTGTGTTGTAAAATTTAATTTATAGTATAATGCTTACCATCTGGTAATTATAAAGAAATAAAAATTAAATTTTTTTAATTAGATGATGTTATAAAAATTTATTTTGTATTGTAAAAGTTAATTTATAGTATAATACTTACTCTCTGGTTATTATAAAGAAATAAAAAAATGAATTTACTCATTAGATGATGTTTTAATAAAATTTATTTTATGTTGTAAAAGTTAATTTATGGTATAATACTTACTCTCTGATTAATAAAAAATAAATTATTTAATTAAATGATGTTTTAATAAAATTATTTTGTATTGTAAAAGTTAATTTCAGTATAATACTTACAATCTGGTTATTATAAAGAAATAAAAATTAAATTTATTTAATATGATGTTTTAATAAATTATTTTGCATTGTAAAAGTTAATTTATACTTACTCTCTGGTTATTATAAAGAAATAAAAAATGAATTTATTTAATTAGATGTTTTAATAAAATTGTTTTGCATTGT